AAAGAAAGAAAGAAAAAAGAAAAGAAAAGAAAGAAAGAGAAAGAAAGACTCTTGCTAGAAAGATGAAATGAATTTATTCAAGCTTTTACAATTATCTACAATTTCCAGGAATATGGAACACAGAGGAACAAGATAAATGATACAAGTAGGCAAATCCAAAAATCCAGACTGAGGAACATTCTAAAGGACAAGTGACCTAGTTTCTGCAGGAAATTGATGGCATAAAAACGGCTGGGTGAGTTAAGGAATGCTCTAGAGTAAAGAGAATTCAGAGGGTAATAGATGTGGCAGTATGTGGACCTTATTTGAATCCTGATTTGAACAACTGTATAGAGACATTTTTCAGACAACAGGAGACATTTTATTAATGGAGTGTGAGCAAATAACCAATAAACTGTTGTTAATTTTGTTTTGGATCAATAATGTCACTGTGATTATGAAATAAAATGTACACATTTCTTAAAGATGTATACTTAAGTATGTAGGAAGAAATAGTATTGGCAGTTTGAGTTAAAATACTTCAGCAAAAAAAAAGGAAAAAAAGAATAAAAAAAGAAATAAAATACTTCAGCAAAGAAAATCAAAGGAAAAAAGGGATAGATGGAACAAATGTAGCGTAATCTAAACTAAGCTGCTGATTGATGATTGTTATATGAGGGTATCAGCAGATCTCTCTCCTCATTCCTATCCCTTTCTATACCATAGGTCTTTCCCCACCCTCTCTCTACTCTATATTCCTTTCTGTACTTCCATTTCCCCCCCCAACCTTTGCCATTCCAGCCACCTCTTTAACTGCCACTGCCACCTCACCCAGACTCAGAGCATCCTAACCATACCTTATAGGACCGAGGCATGCTGGGTAGGACAGTGCCTCCACAGCAGCTGATGATCTCTCCCATCTGAGGTGGTGGTGGCTGGACTCCAGGGGTCACATGGATCTCATAGCCCTAAGAGAAAGAAATGGTGGAGGCAGTGGATGTTTATTGGGAAGCACTGGAGGGAGGGTTGAAGCACCGGTCAAAAGATAGCCTCTCACCTCCAGCAGCCTTCGCTCCCGAGCCCGGCTCAGGGCATCTTGAAGGCTAAAGCCAAAGTTCTTCTCTTGCTCAGGGTCAGTCACCACATATTCATCCGGGGGTAAGAAGCAACCAGCCTTGTGGGACTAAGGATGGCAGCAGTCAGCATCAAAACTCAGCCCAGCCCCTCACCCAGCTCTGCTGCCTAGCATTTACAGAGAGCTCACAAAATGTCTTTTAAATAAATTCAGGCTTCTGCCTCACTAATGCCCCTGTCTTCCTGTAACTCCTCTTCCCCACTACCACTTTCTAGGGTGCTACATGAGCAGTCTTGTCACTACATTGGTCTGTCATCATCTCTTGGCCTCTCACCTGATGTAGCCAGTCCAGGGAGAGAATGGGGATTCCTCGCCCCAGGGCACACAGGAACTTGACTGTCCGGCGGATGCGATCAGTGACCAGGTGAGAAGCCTCTGCCGCTGAACCAGCCAGACTTCCCCCCAGTGCCAGCACGGCCCGCTCTCCCTGGGCATCCACCACTCCTGTGAAGAGCACCTGTGGAAGGGTTGGCCTGAGGTGGTCACAGCAACCCACGCCATCAGCACCCATCTCTACAATCCCCTAGGTCTCCCTGCATCCTCCCCTCATCTCTGTCTCCCACAAAGTCCCATGCCCGTGTCTCTTACTTTGGGGGCTGTTGATTCCTGGGTAAGTTTGGTCCGTCGGAGGCTACGGTTCTGTATTCTGTTGGGCTCCTCCTCTGCCTGGTCTCTCTTTCTCTTGCCTGGTTTTGGAGTCATGGCGTCCTGAGATGGAGAAAAATCTTAGTGGGAGTTTCGGAGCCCTGAAGCCCTTTTTCCCAGCTTTGTGGTCCCAGCCCTCTCCTCACCTCTTCTTTCCCTGGCTTCTCTGTAGTATCTTTTAACTCTTCCTTGAGAAACACTGTCTTCTGGGAGACTTCTCTTTGGGGCTGTTTTTGAAGTGGCAGTGAATCCATAGTAGCAAAAGGCCTCTTGCGGCTTTGAGAGGCCTTAGGCTGGGGCTCTGGGGTAAACCTAGATCCACCTACTGCTTCCGCCTTTTGGATCTGGGAGGCATGAGTTGGTGCCTCAAGAAGCTGGGGAGAGGCAGGCTCAGGAATGGCTGTAAGGGATTCAGCTTCTCTAACTGCTCCCCATCTTTGGTTCCTTGAGGCCCGGGATTTAGGTTCCAGGGGTGCAGAGCAAGGCTTATGGTCAATGGGAGCTTTGAGGGAGCCAGGATTCCCAATGACTCTCTGCCTCTTGCTGCAACTGGCTTGAGGAATAGGCTCAGGGGAAATAGGCTGGTCTGTGGTACCTGGAGACTGGAATTCAGGGGTGGTAGGAACTGACACAGCACTTACTATGGAAGACCTCAGTGTTTTGCTCTGACCACCCTGAGCTATGGCCTCAGGGGTGACTGGCTGGTCTGTGGGGATAAGAGGCTCAAGATTAAAGGCTGCTGGTTCAACTGGTTTGGGAGTCTTGACAGAGGACCTATTTACCCTTCCTCTAGTGGCTCTAGATGTGGGCTTAGGGATGACAGGCTGGTCTATGGAGGTTGTAGGAAGGGGCTTAGGGGCTGTGGGGACACCTGGTTCAGGGGTCCTGACAGAAGACCCATTTATCCTGCCCCTAGTGGCCCCAGATGTGGGCTCAGGGGTGACAAGCTGGTTTCTGGAGGTGGAAGGTTTGAGCTCAGGGGCTATAGGGACAACTGATTCAGGGGTCTTGACAGAGGACCTATTTGTCCTGCCCCTAGTGGTCCGAGATGTAGGCTTAGGGATGACAGGCTGATCTGTGGAGGTGGAAACCTGGAGCTCAGGGTCTGCAGGTACATATTCAGGGGTCTTAACAGAGAACCTATTTGTCCTGCCCCTAGTGGTCAGAGATGTGGGCTCAGGGGTGACAGGCTGGTCTGTGGAGATGGAAAGCTGGAGCTCAGGGGCTGTGGGTACAACTGATTCAGGGGTCTTGACAGAGGACCTGTTTGTCCTGCCCCTACTGGTTCGAGATGGGGGCTCAGGGGTGACAGGCTGGTCTGTGGAGGCAGAAGCCTGGAGCTCAGAGGCTATGGGGACAACTGTTTCAGTGGTCTTGACAGAGGACCTATTTTTTCTTCCCCTAGTAGACTGAGATGTGGGCTCAGGGGTGACAGGCTGGTCTGTGGAGGCGGAGGCCTGGAGCTCAGAGGCTATGGGGACAACTGTTTCAGGGGTCTTGACAGAGGACCTATTTTTTCTTCCCCTAGTAGCCTGTGATGTGGGCTCAGGTGTGACAGGCTGGTCTGTGGAGTCAGAAGCCTGGAGCTCAGAGGTTATGGGGACAACTGTTTCAGGGGTCTTGACAGAGGACCTATTTTTTCTTCCCCTAGTAGCCTGAGATGTGGGCTCAGG